GGCCCCAAAACTGAGCCCTGGGGAACACCGCTCGTGACTGGCCGCCAACTGGATTTAACTCCATTCACCAAGAATCCACAAAGAAGATGTTTTAATACTTCTAGCACCAAAATTAGTCTTTATGTTACATGGTCACTTAAACTGCGAGGTTTTTTACATTGACACCCTTGTGTTGTACAGAATGGGACAGTAGAATTTAAATAGGTATTTCATTGGACATCTGACAGATTTTGCATTTTCTACCGAAACTGGTGGGAGAAGAATTTATAGCAGTCTCTTGTTTGCGTTAGGAAGAACTGATATGATATTGAGTGGCAGAGTTGTATATTGTTTTAGTTCCTTTTGAGAATCCATGTGTTTATGAATGATAAATTTAATTTATTTTGCAGTTAAGTACTTGTTTTCTCTGAATATTCAGAGTATTTTTAAAGATGGATATCTTTGAGGATCTAAAGTGACCTTTATGAGCATAGATGATGTCATCCTTGATGTACTCCATTGAACTAATACAAAGTATAGCTTGTTAGAAGGAGTCCCAGGGAACCTTTTGTGAATGAAGGTTGAATGGTTATTTTGAAAAGCTAGGACAAGCCATTAGATTTAGATTATTTATGCAAAAGCTTTGTAGTACTTCGTTCAATGTTTCTCTTGTGGGTTGTGTTTTGTTTTGTTCTGTTCTTTCCTTTAGTCCACATCCTGTAACAGTAATACACTTTAAATGCTTTGTTTTACTAGACATACGAAGGACCACACAGCACAGAAGAAGTATGTATATACCATTCTGGTGTACCTATATTTCATGAAGGGTTAGTATTCAGCTAACTTCAATTTTTTTAATTAGTCTATTATGTGTTCCTGCTTTCTTTGTACATGTTGCCTTGTTTTCATTCCGTATTTCTTCTTCAGTCAAAAATGGCAATGTTAAGTTAACAGTAATATTGCATAAAGGAAAGCTCTTAAGTACACACAGTAAATAGTGTCCTAAATACTGTTTTTTAATTACTTTGCAAACTTTCAAGGATGAAGTATTGGAGCTGTTGTAAAAGAAAAACATCTGACTTCAATACATTTTTAGCTCAAGAAGGCTGCACAACAGGAACACATGTATGGACTAAAAAGGATGCAGTAAGTAGCATTAACGTTGCATTCTGTGGCTGGCTGTTCTGAATTTCGAATACTCAAATGTAGTTAGTAGCTTCATCGAGTTATTACTGTGGTCAAGCTGTTACAGATCACTACCTCTGAAATAACATGGAGGATATTATGCACAGCATGACAACAGAGAAATGGATTTTAAAGTAATCTGTGGTAGAAGTTTACTTGTAATAGAGTACAACCTTTCATTTTAGTGATACATATAGTATCACTATTTTATAGTAAACGTGTTTTTTGCAAACTCAGGGGAAAAAAAATAGCAGTCTTCTGCTTTGTGAGTTAAGGAAGTCTGTGGTATTCCATATAGAATATATGGAATTCTATATAGAATATATTCCATATATTCCTTTAAAATAAGATGATTAGAAGTCTTTCCTCCCCCAAAGACCGTGAAGCGAGCAGCCGTACATGTTCTGTAGTAAAATAACTGTACTTCCAGTTTCGTTCACGGTAGTTGAGTTGTTGTTTAGGTAGGGATGGCAGGGCAGGTAAGGACGATGAGGTTCCATGGGTGGGGATGGAAGGGTCTCTTTCTGTCTAATCTGGATTCTGTTTACATGTCTGAATATTTTTCTGGTCTGAATCTAATGCAGTGTTTTGGTTTGGCTACCAGTATAACAAATACAGAGAGAGCATCTGTTTAGTTTGTAGGTATTTCATTGCAAGGTTGGAAACAAACTGCAGAATTACAAGGTGAAAAATATTTCCATTCAAGGTTTAAAAAGGTTCTTAGAGAATATTACAGAATGTAATAATGGAATTGAACACTTCAAAAACTTTAGCTGGTCACATGTTGGATGCAGGTGGACACAAAATTCTCGTTATGAATATATTGTCTATTGCTGAGGCAAAATGGGTTTGATACTGCAAACATCAGTAACATTTAACAGAAGGAAATAAAGGTATATTATAGAAAGTATAGTTCTGTTACCTCATTCTGTAACAATTACTTCACAAGTCCTTTACTTCCTTTAAGTCATGGAATTCTCCTGGCTTTGAAGATTTATGTTTGTGTTTAAGAAGTATTTTCTGATACAGAAAGGAGGAATTAAAAAAGCAGAAGGTGTGAGCCTAAAGCAGGAGAGTATTCTTGTAAAGAATTTACCCAGATGTTAAGAAACTATGTGTGTATTAAATGTGTCTATATTGGGATAATGGGCTTCTAGCTAACGGGGTTTTTGACTTTACCTTTTTGCTGTTATTTTGGGTTTTTTAACTGTTTATTTTTCCTGCATCAGAGAACAGAGGGTAATATTCAATAATTTTTTGCAGTAATATGAAAGGTTCTTGGAGTCATGGCTTTGTTTTTCTTTGATCGGTTCCTTTCTACTACCTGCTGGATAACTGTAGTCTTGGAAAGGAAGTTAATCCAACAAGTAACATATTTTTTTTTGGTTGTTTTGTTTTTTATTTTTATTTTTTATTTTTTTCTATCACAATGTCCCAGTTTCTTACTGTAGTCTCTGTCGTAAAGCATTGGTTTTCTCACTTCTAATGTTTGTCAGGGACCAGTAGCTGAAATACTTAGTAAAAAAAAGATGTAAGTGGAGTCTTGCAATCTCCTGTGAACATGCAATATAGTCCTTTATTAGCTGTGCTTATTGGCTATTAAAATAGTCCTGGGCTTTTATCCTCATTAATCTTGTAAAAATACTCCTGAATGCAATTTTAAGTCTTTTTTTTGTAACTTTTTCCTTATATCGGGAAAGAAGGTAGTTCCATGCAGGCATGATTGGCACCAGACTGGAGGAGAAGTGACTATTTCTGTATATGCTAAAAACTCTGTTCCTGATTTGAGCTATGTAGAAGCAAATAGCACAATGGTGAGTATCTACCTTAAGCTGTAATTCTGTTTTTAATTCTTACAGCAGCTTGAAGTTAGGTAAATCTGGCTTCTGCTTTATTTACAAGGCAGAGGTAGAATAGCATAAGAATCTTATTCAGTAATGACTTTTTCTTGGCATTTCTGTTTGTTCAAGTATGCGTAGCATTTTTTTTCTCTTCTGTTTGGACATCTGTACTTTAATGTTTTTTGCTGTTTTTTTTTTTTAAAGCTGCAATATAATATGTCAAAAAAATCTTTAATTCTACTTCCGCAATTAAAACCTGAGTGTGATGGATTTGCATCACCATATGTGTAAATAATTATAGATTCATAATTTCACTGTATTTGGCTTAATGTAATTTAATATAGTTCTTCACGGTATGCAGTTTCACAGCTACTAATGTTAAACAAGTGTTAAAACGCTTCTCTGATGTCTTTAATATGTCAAAAAAATCTTTAATTCTACTTCCGCAATTAAAACCTGAGTGTGATGGATTTGCATCACCATATGTGTAAATAATTATAGATTCATAATTTCACTGTATTTGGCTTAATGTAATTTAATATAGTTCTTCACGGTATGCAGTTTCACAGCTACTAATGTTAAACAAGTGTTAAAACGCTTCTCTGATGTCTTAATCACACATTTGGAGAAAATGATACAGCTTCCAGGATGTATATATGGCCACTATTGACTATGGTACTGTATCAGAATCTATTAGAATAGATTTTTACTTCTATGTCTGAGGGACAATTTGATCACTTTGCTTATTGTAGAATCTGAGTCCTAATGTGATATATTTTGCTTAAACATGCTTGTGTATGTTTTATTAGCCTGACAAAATGTTCTGTGCTTTTTCCTGTTAAGTTAAATATCCATATTGTATTTGAAGGAGAAAAGGAATTTCATCGCAGTGTGAAATTATGGGGAGTAAGTATAAGAATAATTTTTCTATTAAAAAAAAAAAAACCAAAACCAAACCACAACAAAACAGAAACCCTCAGCTTCCTGTCTTTCAAAACAGTTTGGTTTTCCTCGTTATTCTGTTTATTGAAAGAAATTCAGTTGCATATCATTCAATAATCTACACTTTAATCTGAATCTAATGCCCCAAGTGATCAGGTATGATGTCATAGTTGATGCTGCTTTGAGCAGAAGGTGACCTTCTGAGGTCATTCCTGTCCCGGTTTGTCCTAAGATCCCAACACTGCAATAGTGGTGTTGCAGAAACCCTTGACGCTATGTAATCGCATGCTTATGTATGTGTTAGACCAATGTATATGTTACACAGGCATATGTTCGTGGCTTGGGAATGGGAGAGGGTTGACTTTTCCAGGTAACAGAGGGAACTCCATCTACCTAAACATCTACTGAAATTTAGTGATAAGATACTCTTCCTAACTTAATTCCCAAATATCTAGCAGTCTGTTTCTTAAATTGAAGTGTGAAATATGTTTTTTGTTCTAGGTAATCGATGTAAAGAGGAGTTACGTGAACATGACAGCTACAAAGATTGAGCTTACTATGAGAAAAGCAGAGCCCCTATTATGGGCAAGTCTTGAATTACCTGTATCCAACACGCAACAAAAAAAAGAGAATTCAGATCAATAATGATTCCAAGAGACGAGTTACTTCCCATTATGAAGTGGTGACTTGCTACTGTAATCAAATATTTAACTTTTATATCGATTCATTTTTTTTATGCTAGATCATATGTTCCATTCTACAAAGAAATTTGATGTACAGTAAATGGGGGTGTAAACGTGAAGGGTAACAGCTATTTCTGCTCTTGCTCCCATGAGTATATTTATTGTAGTTGGAGTGTCTCCATAGGGATTTAGAGTAGAAGAGCTATTGCCCTTTGCTTACAACCTTACCTACCATGCACTGACTAGCCAAATAGAGGTGTTCTCAGTCCACTGTGAGTGTTAATTTTTCAAGTGTTCGGTTTAGACTGGATCTACTGGGTAGCACGTGTTAAATTCGGCACTGTTCGTTATGGCGCATACAGTAACACAGATACAAAAATCTGAGTTCATGAAGTGATTAACATCCAATTCTACATCTAGAATAAAAAGGTACGTAAACATAAATATGGAAGAACACTGTAGACTTGCATTTTTGTCTTTGAAACTAAGGTTTGTTTCAATACCTGTTGGCTGTGGAGGGATGGAATAAAAGGTATTTTGCTAAGGATTTCAGTACTTGCTGATTCTTTTGCTGTCTTTCATGTGTAAAAGTAGGAGATCAGATTAAAATAAAAACGAAGTTGGCAAGAGGGGATTTTTTTTTTTTTTTAGTCCTGTACATTTGGTATTTGAGTTGTTAAATATAAAAGTGAATGGACGGTGAAATGGCTGATTAACATCTCAGCTGTGGACAATATACAAACAGCAGACTATTGTAAAATTACCAAGGTGCTGTATATATTTGATAGTCATTAGAATGTGTTTTCTGCCCTATTCTACAACACTCAAAATTATGAATCTTTTTTCAAAGTAGTTGGATATGTGTAGTAGGAGAAGCCAGTACACACTGTAGGTGTCTGAGGAAAATTATTTCCATGTAGATATGCATAGTTCTTGTTTCTGAGGATGATAGTCTAAGAACTAAATTTATCTACAGGAGAAATCTTAGGAGAAACAAACCACAAGCTTTAAAATGTCTGTCTCAAATCATAATTGTACCTTTGAATTAAAATATTTTAAAAATATTATTTCTTTTGAACAGCATAAGTAAAACACTGTGATTAGAAATCAAGATCTTATTTTTGGTTTCAGTTCTCCATCAGTAAAGATTTGTGGCTGAAAACAGGATAGTTTTCAAGATGATACTTTTGTCCAAGCAGCAATACATGCAGTAACGTTGCTTTCTTTTTCTGCTTGAAATAGTTTCTTAATTTGGGGTTGCAGCTGAAAGAAAAACAATGTTTTCGTATGTAAGTCATGCAAAATGTACACCATTATTTACTGTGCCAAAACTTTATATATGTAAACAAGCAGTCCTGTGGACTGTTGAAATGTGTGGATGCTCATCTACCTACCTTGGCAGATCTGGAATAACGTCAGGAGAAACGCAGAACACAGTAAAGCCTTTCTGAAGTTAAATAGGGGCTTCTAAGAATCTTACTGTTTTCCAACAGGTATGATTGGACTTGAGCTCGGAGTTCTGTCTCTAGCAGTACTTGAAACCCTACTTCATGCTTAAAGTAGTAGGAAATACATTACCAAAGAAACCGTCCCCAAACACCAAGAAAGTAACACAAGTGCCGTATATATGAAATTTGTTTTGGTGCTTCTTTACCTTCATTTCAAGATCCTGTTTCCTCATTGACTTGGAGGGAGTGTGGTTGCTTATTCCCTTGGGCCCCTATTGAAAGTTCCAGCTCTTAAGGTCTGCCTAAAAGATTCTGTTAACCTCTAATAATGCCGCCTTTGTTTTTTTCTTTTTAAATAAATTTGAATATGTTAGGTGCTGTGAAGTGATAGGGTACAAGCTTACAAAAATGTGTGCCTGCAAATGGTCCCCTAAAAATGGAACAGATGTTCCCTGATGTGTTCTGAACCAACAAGTGGAGCTCTTACTAGTATAATACTGAGAACAATCACTTCAGTGGATGAAGAATTCTAGATAGCTGTAGCTACTAGCGTGCCATCTGTGCTTTTTGTATGCAGAACTCTGAACTTGGACAGCAAAATGAGCAGTGTTTGAATGCCAGGGTAAAGTTCTTATTTAACAAGCAAGTTCAAACGTGTCTGTCCATATGGATATATAAATACCCTACATATCTTACATGCTCCACCTTTTTTAACATACTTTCACTTTATTTGCATCCTCACGTGCAGTAGGTTTACATCATGTAAAATCCATTTTAAAGAACTACAAGGGAAATGGAGTTTCTTGGGAAAACAGAATTTCTGGTTTTAAGCAAGTCATATTCTCCCTTAGTATTCTAAATACTAAATGGAGAGAAATGTGGATGCATGGACCTTCTGCTGTTAATGCTGCAGGCTTTGGGACCCCGTAACTATTTGTTACGCTCTTTCAAGCTACACTTTGCTGGTAGCTGAGTCAATGTGTCCATAAGTAGAAGAAAGCTCCTGTAAACATGGTCCTCAGTTTTGCATTTGCTTTTTATTCATTCCTCCTACTCTCTTCCTGTTGTTCATACTTTCAGCACAAAATTAAAGATACTTCAGGAGTTCCATAATGACTTTCCCCATCAGTGGCAATAAAACCACTTTTAAAATTCACCCGTTTAAAAAAGTAAGCAAATAAAAGAAAGCCCAGCTTTGATCAGGTAAGAAGGTATAGGTTTTACAAATAATAGCCTAGTTTTCTATGGCCTGCGACGCTTTCAAAATAAAGGGATAAACTTTCAGATGGTATAGGCTGCTGTAAGTCTCTTGTTTAACTGCATTAATTCTTAGCAGCTTTGTGTAACCATATGTCTGCATCCATCATCGAGCTGCAAAAGCTGTATCACTTCCTGAATTTGAGCGTTTTGAGCAGTTGCTCAGAACAGGCTTCAACACACCAATGTTTGATCCCGGTGTTTCATGAAATGACGGCTTGACGTGGATAGCGGTAGCTGACGCTTCGATGGGATCTTGGTTTGGCTGTAGCTTTTATTAGTAAATGTGGAGAGAAGGTGAAACCAACTGTAGAGTACCAAACCAATCACAATACTTTCTGAAAAGCAAGATTTGAAAACTAAGCTAAGTGATTTTTGATCACATAGGCTTTCACCTGTCTAATAGTAGTGAAACGGAATTGCAAACCTGTATGTATTGGAATACTGGCTGTTAAATTTACCCTTTTTTTTTCATGTTTTCAGAAGTTGTGCTGTACCTAAGAAGTTGGTTGACTTGGTACAGCCTAGCTATATTTTTATAATTAATGAATCTTTGAAAGCTGTAGTGTGTTGCAGTGCGGGTTTCCATGTTCCACATGTAGGCAGCGTATTACGTGTCTCAGAACTGACTGTTCAGGTGCATTTCCTTCACAATCCCTTTTTAATATGAAAAATCTCATGGGTATACAAGTTTGTGACAGAAATCTTAATCTTTTCCCTCATGTATAAGCCCATTTTCCTACCTAGCATTACATACCGTATCTGTAACAACGTTTCTTGGAGGAGTTGGAATTTATTTTTAATGTTAATATACTGTTAAGCACTGGGCTGTTCAGCTACTCTGACTCTTATGTGGCACTGATGTAACGACAAATCTTCCATTGGACGATCTTCTGGAACGTGTACACTATCAAGTCACCATTTCAGTAGTTTAGGGACTAGTTTTACTAGGAATTTTGCCTTGAAAAAGAAATCTACTTATTCTATGGGACGATGCATTTTTTGCTTGCATTCTTTAAACATGGCATGAATATTGGTTAAATACTGTACCTGTTAATCATTGGTCTTTCCCTATTGCTGCTAAAATTCTTTTTATCTCCGTTCAGGACCGAGACCCTTTTTAAAGTCATGAGTTAGGTGTCTGGAACACTGTTTTAAGGCGGTAATTTTGCCATTGTAAGAGTCTTGAATTGCAGTTGAAGGGGGGAGATGTCTTTTTGCATGGTTGTTCGGTTCTGCACATTCACAAAACTTATACGCAGAAATTAATCTCATGTCTTCATGCTCCATTTTTTTTCCAAATGTATTCAATAAAATTCTTATTACACGCTGGTTGCGTTTGGGGTTTTTTTTTTTACTTCTTTTGTTACGGGAGAGAACTTCCCTTTGGATTTGCAACATGGTTGTTGAAATAAAATGTAAGTGGGCATTTTCCACAGGTCGGCCTATATATGAGGGAAACTGTGGCAAAGGGTTTTTCCCCACCCCTTGGTTTCTTTCTTTGCCTGTTGCTTTTTAGCGCAACAGCCCAGTCAAGATACGCGAGTTCTGCAGCACTTTGAGTAAGGGTGGCTACTCAGGTGGGGGCCTGCCTCATCCACGGAAATTGTTCTGTCCAAGAATTTTGAGCTGTCACAAACTTACTGGAACCAGCATAATTCCAAATACAACGTTTGGGCTGTTTCTAAGAATGCTGGAGATATTCTAGCTCTGCTGCTTTTTTTCAGTTTTCTTGGTTTCTTGGGAAAAGGAAGAAGACACGTGTCAAACCTCTGGCGTTCCCACAATGGAGAGAAAAAGGATTCACTTCTTGGGGCCTAGAATTTTCTGTGGTAAGAAAAACGTGGTGTTTTGTCAAAGTTTGGGTAGGTATTTTAACCAAAGATAACCAAGATACTGTCACAGACATTACAAACTAATCCACAGTTACTGTGCCAAATGATTGTTAGTCAAGCAAATGCAGTTTCTCTTGAGTTTGTCTGCAAAATGCAGGGTAGGTGTTCGGGAGATAGGATGTCAGCAGAAAGGGGGGTGGGCGGGCAGAGGGTACGGCCCTTAAGACTTCTCCGTAGGCAGCACAGATTTCAACCCGTGTTCACAAAGTCAGTGTTTTTCTGTTCAGCTTCTGAACGTTTTCTTTTCCTGACGCAACGTTGGCATGAACAGGAATGAAGAACTACTGTACACGACCACCGTCAACTACGCATTTGTAGTCAGTCCTGTGAGCCTAAAAGGAAAGGGGCTGTAGGAGCAGGCACCTGTAATCCGGAGGTACGTGAAATGCATCAATGTGTCTGTCTTTAGCTTAGTCGATCAACCCATGCGATGACTGATTCCAGCCATCCAGAAAGTGTGCAGGTTTTTTTGCAGCCGCTGCGCTTCTGTGTGAGAAGGAAGCATCCTCTTGAATAAAAATTTTTTTGCTACCTGCCGGAAACAAGTATTTGAAAAATTAGTTCCTTGTTAAATATTAATAAAAGCTGCATTGCAACAAAAGTCATTCAAAGCTGGCTGGAGGCAGAGCTGTTGCCTTACAACCATCTATGAAATATTTTTAGTCCACAAACCTTGTTCTCTGAAATGTGTTTTAAATTTATGATAAATATCGATACTGCGATATTACTGCTGAATTCAGTGCTTGGGAGAAAACTAACCTAATGTGCTTCTAGCCTAATATGCTTAACCTAATTTGTTCTTCCTTTTGAAAATCAGACCCGTGTATAAGAGGCAGAGTTGATACTGTGCGCTTCTAGACCCCAAGGGTCTTACTTTTTTTTCTTTTTTTAAGGGAATGCCTTGTAATCGTTACATTGTTGTATACATAAACATTAACCCAAACTTTAAATGTTCTGCCTTCATCCGTGGAAGCAGTTAACATTTGGAGTGTCTACTCATGAACAAAACCTACAACAAAAGCGTTCAGCTCCGAATTATTCTTTAATTGTAGCTCTGCAAGTCAGAAGCCTGTCAGCACTTCTGGTACAAGCTTTATTTCGATGGATTTATAACTTAAATGGGATGCCTGTGCTTTCTAAGAGCAGTTAACAGCTGTAAAGAAGATAAAGCTGGTAAAATGAATGGAGAATCTTAAAATGTGGTTGAAAATAAATTTTTAAGAGAAAGGTTTTCACATGTTTGTAAAAAAATGTTCATGGAAAACATGCTAAGACTGAAGGTTAATACAAAGCAACAACTCCAACTGTGAATGAGCCAAAGCACTGGAACTGTTCAAATCAGAGTGTTTTATGATTTTTTTCCCCACCTCTTTATAAAGGTTCACCATGTTGCTATGTGAGCACAGTGGCATTGTTCAGCATTTCTTCTTTTGCTGTTATTTCTCCTCAACAATATTTTACTTTAGAACGCAGACAATTAGGTTTATTGCACTTATTATCGAACCGTTCCATTGATGCACGTTGCCTGAAGACTGCGGTGTGGTTGGGACCTGTACAATGAAAAGTGGCCAAGAACTGCAACGTGGTTGAGTGGCAGTACCGAAATGCAGAGCGCACAATTCTTAAGCTAAAGCATGTGTCATTTTAAGGAGGTTTTGCCTTTCACAGTTTTATTATATAACGCACATATGGTTTATCTTAAACTGTCCCATGGGGGTACTTAAGTAAACATAACTTTTCAGGGTATATTGCAATCTGCAGTGTCGTACGTCCTCATTTTCCCCCCATACACTGTAGGTATTCTTCACTGAAACTGTAAGTATAGTTGTCTGCAGAACGAGCAGTAGCCGTGAGAGAGCCGATGGATTTTGCCAGAGCTGCTCCGTATTCTGGTAATTACGTTTTAGTACAAAACGGAGTGTAATACTGCCCGAGAGGCAAGCGCTGAGTCCTGCAGTTAGACTCTGAATCCTACACAAATGTCTAGTCCTCGGGCAGGTTATCATTTATCAGACTGCAGATGACAAGAATGATTGATATTTGCAAAACCAAAGTTAAATCAGGCTGAATTATGTGAACTGGGATGGTTTCAAAATGTAGGAAGAAAAGCTCAGTCCATTCCATCCGTGTTTCAGATTTGCCAGGACTAGATACTAAGTAAGTATGCGACTATGTAGCTGTCCTCAACGATTGCTCTTTCAAAAACTTGGACCTCCCCCAAGTAGTCCCTGAGTGCCCATCTCTGCTGGCAGCTCGATAAATACAGTATTGCCACGGCTAGTAGCAGGCCACAAGCTTTGTTCCAGCTCTGCGGGGTCTCAGGACTTGCCGGGCTTGTGTTGTCTGAACTTCTCTTCGCCTGCCTGGAGCTTTGTTTTAGCTTGTTTGGCTGTTACAAGTTTTCTCGTGACTGGGTGGTTATTGCCTTGTTTGTTTTACCTTGGTTTCTCCTTTTGTAGCTGTATGGTATAACCGTATTTTTTATACAGATACTAGTGACGAGCAATTTATCTGTGTAGAACAATGTATTTATGATTCTAGCATCACGTTGCAGAGGAATACAAGCCTGATACAAGCAGGGGCCTTGAAAGCTGGGGCATGGGATGTGGTGTAGAGTACCATGGGCATGGGACGGGTAGAGAAGGGGCACAGGGTATTGGAGACCCCGGGAAGATAAACAGCTCATGATCATTTTAACTGCTTTGTTATTGAAAGGTTTGTCTGTGATAGCATTCTTTGTTTTTTCTTTTTCGGTAATAAATAGAGACTAAACATTCTTTGATCACACAGTTAAGATTTTAAGTATACTGACAATGGACTTGTCTTTACTTATAAAGCATGTTTCTTTCTGCCCGTAGTAAGACAGGCAGGATGCTTGTGTTTTACTCCTCTGCCGTGGCAATGGGCAACGCTGTGCAAGTGCCCAGGCTTCTGCAAGGCTAGGAGCCAGGATAATGCTGCCTGGGCTGCGGGCTGGAGATGGTGTTTTAGCGCAGGCAGGAGGTGCCAGGGCATGCAGGCTGGGGTGCAAAGAGTACGGAAACATGGTCCGGGAGACGGAGAGAGCTGAGGAAGCAAAAGCGGTGTTTCAGGAGGGGGGTGCTGGTTCCAGGAATATCTGAAGGGGACGAGTGATCTCAGAGGGAGCCGAGTCTCAGTGCTCAGTGTTCGCAGCTGACCGTGTGTCCCCAGCCTGACGTCCTGCTGCTTCTGGGTTACATAAGGGTGTGTTGTCACAACCATCGTCTGTGTCCAGCAGCTGTGGCTTGAGTTTCCTTCTAAAAATACGGTCAAGTTTGGAGGTAACGTGGATGGCAGCTTGCTGTCAGCAAGCTAGCAAAGCACATCTGGGGAAGGTGCCATGTAAACATAGCAAGTCTATTCTTATCTGATACCCTCCTATGAAATGCTTTTCCCATTATCGCCTCTCCCGTTCTTTCCCTTTATGGAAGGTTGTAACGTGTTTGCAGTTTACTTGAACCAAGTCCAGCCCCTCCTGCATGAGGTGCCTAACAACCCAGTCCTCCGCCTCCTCCATTCTTTGAGCTCCCAAAACTCACCCAGAAAAAGGATGTGCCTTACAGATTGGGTTGAAGAACAGCTCGGAGATTTTCCTGGATGAGGAAGAAAATGTTTAAGGGTGTAGGATCCATCAGGACAAACGCTGTGTTGAGTCTGACAGGAGCCGCCTTGACTTCACAGATTATAACTGGCACAAGCAAATACAGAAGCAATCCATGGGACAGACAGCTCCTAAACCATTTAGGCTTTCTAAGTTCCTCCTGCTGACGCTGATTAACAGAAGTAACTGCTGAACTTGACTTAGAGCTCAACTTTAATACATCATAGACTTGCAGGTAAATTACAGGGTTAAACGGTAGCCACTCTTGCTTGATTGGAGTTGTTTTTAGTCCCAGTGGTGCAATGAAAACAGTCTTTTGCATTAAAAAACAGCTGCTCACTAAATTCAGCTCCTACTGGTTTCTCTAAGGATAATTTCTGTGTAGCAGGTGTTGCTCAGTGAGGAATGCAGCGCTTTGGTTCAGCTCAGAAGAGAACAGCGTAGCAGAAGCGAGATTTCTGTATTTCATTTAATTAGTGTGGTCTCTGCTTTGCCGTAGGGAAGTCCGTGACGTTCACCATCACTCAGGTCTCTTAATGGCACTCTTAACTGTGTGCTAAAAATCCCATGAATGAAAATAGAGGAATTTAGAGTAAGAGCGAGAAAAACCGGGCCATGCTGAGTATATCCTATTCCTACCAGCTGCAGAGAGGAGGTCCCTGGGTGCTTTTCATGCTGCATCACCTGGAGATTCCAGCTCTGCCTCCTTGAGGGTTTCTACAGCATTGCCTGGGAGGTGCAGAAAGTCCTCGGTGGCTTTCAGACCCAGTCAGGATCTTTCAGAATCTCACCCTGCTGCTGTTTTCCTTAGGAAT